TTCTCCATCTCAGAGGATCTGTGCATGGATGCTGCTGCTGGTAACCATGTTGGAGGCTGCAGCCAAACAGAGCCGTGTTTCTGATGAAGCTCGGGTCAGAGAGACTAGAGCAGCATCCATGCAGCCAAGAACCCAGCCCAGCTCTGGACACCAAACCAGACATTTGAGACCTGAAGTCAAACAGAGGAGGATGTTTCTGGAAAACGCATCCCGTCCTCCTCCCTTCAGCGTTTTCCAGCCAATCAGGATAAAAACCTGGAGAGTCAGAGAAAGCTGCAAACTGTCTGAACCTGAGAGCGAGAGGCTGGAGAAAGCTCTGGAAGAGGCTGAGAGGCTGGTGTCGTCTTTACTTTCAGGTAAAAAACAGACAACAAACACACTAACGCATACTTAAAGGAAACTAACTCAATCTGTCTGATAGTGAACAGAACCGTGGGATCGTTACTGCTGAGCAGAGACGTCAATAAATACTGCAAGTTTGTCTGGAGGAATTCAAGCCTGCTGAACTACAACAGGTTAATGCTTACTTAGTGCGTTTACATGCAAAGTATTTAAAATTCACTAAGAAATGCTCCAAAGATGCACGATTCCAGGGGACAAATATCATTACTCCAGGTTTTTGTATTGAATTTAGCAGTAATAATTTTCTGATTCCAGGTGTGGAAGAGCAAACAGAAGCTACAGAACTGAAATGTGTCTGGACGTCACAGTAAGCAGTCAGTCCAGTTGCTCTGCTGTTTCTCTCCAGATGTTATCAAACTGAGTATCCATCGCGTTTCTACCTTCCCTCTGCCTGAACAGATCCCAGAAGATCATCTGTCTGGATGCTACGTTTACCCAGAGGCTGACTCTCCTCGCAGGACCGTCCTCAGGCCAGAGGGAGTCGGACTTCCTGACACCGACTTCCTGATTTACATCCATGTACAAACCACTGACAAATGTAGAGCAGAGGTAAACATCCACTTCACTACATCTGAAGTTTGACTATGTCTCAGAAATGTTCTTCTTTCTATGTTTTTATTGTGTCTCTAAAAGAATTTGATGCCACTTTAAATCACACAATTGCTTTTTTGCCTAAAGCTGCAGAATGTATCAGATTACAGTATCAGTACCTCAACTGCAAAGGAAAGCTTGGATGTAATATTTGACAGGATTTTATATTTCAAGCTACATCCAGTCAAACTCTTGTTGTCAATAATAACAAGAGTTATTATTGACAACTCCAAAAACCCTCACCTGGTGTATATTTGTAGTGTGTGAAATGCTGAGGCTCATAATCAATGTTTTGGTAAATTCAGTGTTGTCCTGCTCACTCAGCCTGGCGTCCTCGCCTACGCCGTCCACTGCCAGACAGACGCCGGGGGACGTCCTGTGGCCGGTGTGGTGGTCCTCTGCAGGGACAGGCTGAGCGGCGCCGCCTACAGCCACCAGGCTACAGTTCAGGTTTAAACGCAATTATGTATAATTTCACTTCTAATCTCCTGAGGTGATGTGTCTGAGCCGGTAAAGCAGAAATTAGGTAACTGTGGTTGTGGTGTCTGTGATTATCTGCTTTCCAGACTCTGATCCATGAGATGTTTCATACACTCGGGTTCTCCAGAGATCTCTTCAGCTCCTGGCAAGACTGTTCATCAGATCAAGGTTTTTAGAAAACATCCATTTCTCTTCTTGTGTCTTTTATTTTCTTGGAGGCTTGAAAAGCACAATCTATTTTAAAAGGGCAGTATTATCTAAAGTTGACTTTTTTGAGCTTTACATCATGTTATAAAGTTATTTCCTCATCAAAAAACATACTGGGAGTGTTGCCTTGATTCTTTAATGCATGTTTGAGAAATAATTAATCTCCATGGCAACCACTCAGCTGTGTAAAATGCCTTCGAGGTGCGAGCGTCTCAGCTTCAGTCCTGCCCCACTCGGCTCCTTCAGACTAGCCAGGAGCAATTAGCAAACACCTGTTGGAACTGCAATGCTGGTAAAAATGTTGCAAAGATATTAATAGCGGAGCAAAGTAGCGATTACTTCCTGAAGGTGGCGTTTAAGAATGCAGGAGCTTCTTAAAGAGACAGAGACCCAATTTCAAGGTGTTAAATTACAAAATCAGGTTTCTTTTAAGTCATACTTTAAAGCAGCTGAAGTTAACATAGTCACTTGATTACTTGGAAAGCACATCATACTGCCTCTTTAAAATTAGCTGCTTTAATTTAATTTAAGATAAAATCACATTTACTTCTGTGTTTTCTTTTCTTATGCAGGAGCTTCATGTTCTCCTCGAAATAAAGTGATTCACTCAGACGGATCAGGACAGACGAGGATTTACACTCCAGCCATCGTCTCGGCCCTGCAGAGACACCTGATGTCCTCTGACCCTGAGCTGGGCGGGCCGCTGGAGAACCTGGTGCTGAGAAGGTCAAAGGTCAGCATCACATTTTAACACCTGCCTGACTTTAACCTTCGCTCCTCAGGATGCGTCTGCAGGCAGAGCTTCCTCCCACTGGGAGTCACGGGTCCTGCAGGGATCCATCATGGCGGCGGCGCTGGGAGACCCGACCACGGTCCGGATCGACCCGGTCACGTTGGCGGCGCTGCAGGACACGGGCTGGTACTCTGTGAACCTGAGCCGGGCTCAGAGTCTGGTCTGGGGAGACGGTAAGAAACGACATGAACTGACTAATCTGCAGGATTCAGGTTGAATTTTATTTAATTTTATCAGGTGAAGGAGCCAATTTTGGTTCTCTGTCGACCTGCAAGGACAACTCCTCCACCTTTTTCTGCTCTGGAAGGTAAAGTTGGAGCTTTGCATCTGATTGCAGCAGGAACATCAATTATTTTCACACATGTTTTTCCTGATTGCTCTTAGTGGAGTTGGATGTCACTTCCTTCACCTCCACAAAGGGAAATGTCAGACGGATCCGTACCTGGAAGGCTGTCGGGTCTATAAGCCGCTGGAGAACGGAGTGAGTCGTCATCTTTAGCAAAAAGGAAATCATTACTTATTTCCCTTCTGTTTACTTTTATTATACTTTCCTTTTTCCTTCTATCCACATATGTGTTTTTAAGTTGCTGAACTGTCGCGGTTGGTCCTGTTACACCTGTTAAAGTTCTTTTCTTTTTGTTTCGTATCATTTTCTTCTTCCTCAGAGTGAATGCTGGAGGAAAGAAAACACGAGATGGTCTCCTGCAGAAAACTGGAGCGGAGAGATGTTTGGCTTTGACAGCCGCTGCTTCTTCTCCAGCCTCAGCAGACAGGTGTGTGTGTGTGTGTGTGTGTGTGTGTGTGGGGGGGGGTTTCTGCGATAAAACATTAAAACCTTACAGGATGATAATGTTAGAGGAAAATCAAAATGCAATTCCCAGAAGTCCAAACTTGGTTTTAGGTGCTTAATTAAATATTTTTATTACATCCTCTATTAGATCTTCATTCAATCAATAGTCTCTGACCTTGTAAGATATGGAAAAAGAAGAGTGAAATTAAAACATAAAATCAGACAAGAGATTGACATTCACACGCACAACAAATCTAATGGTTTTCTATTAATTAAAAAGTAACACCTTGTCTTCAGTTTATGTTTATGAGCATATAAAGGAATAGATCTGGTAGTATTTTAAATATCGTTCCAAATACTCTGACTGAAAAAGAGAAACACTCAATTCTTCTTTTGCTTTAACATCATTTTCTCTTCCCGTCTTTCATCTGAACCAGGTCGGTGACGTTTGGACCAGCAGCTCTGCTGAGGGTCGCTGCTACAGACACAGATGTTCTGGACCCAACAGGTACCAGATCCAGGTATCTGGCTCTGAATGGGTGGACTGCCCAGCAGGGGGCGCCGTTCAGGTAAGATGACCGCAAATGCAGCTTCTGTGGGTTTTTCTAAAAATGATTCTTTTGTCAAATAAATGAATCTAACTATGAAACAAACATAATCTCTTCAAGTAAAGGAAGGTATTTTTGGTCTCAATAGAGTTAAACTTCTACACTATCATTTTATGAAATTTTATCTGTAATTTAAAAGTTGTGCCAGCATTGTACATGTGTGATCAAATAGTTTAACACTAACAGATGTGTTTTACAATTTTTCCTCTCCTTTTATTTTAAATATCACATTTAATATATATATATTTTTATATATTTTTGAAAACATTGTCTTATTTTACTAATGAGTATCTCCAAAGTAATAATAATAAAAAAGCAAAGAACAAAACATGCAAATACCATTTTTGTTCCAAGATAAACTCACATGCAGTAAAGTGCCGCTGTTCCTCAAATAATGTTTTTGTCAAAACAGGTGAGAGGTTTTTATCTGCAGTGAAAAAGCTTTAGGACTCAGTCTGGGTCTTAGCGGTTCTTAGTTTCACCCCAGACATCAACTGGGGGTGAAAGATGTTCATATAAACTCCATATATGTGCAAATAAAACTTTTATAAAGTATTACATGTTTTTATTGGTCTTTAGTTCATTATGGAAACATAAGAAATGTGTGTCACCACTGAGACTTTTGGCTATAACTCCACATATAGAAGTATGAAAACCTAAACAGGATTGTGTTCCTGTCCTCTCAGGTTAAAGGATATGGAGGGGAAGTGTTTTGTCCTGACAGACGGTTGTGTCTCTACTCTGACGTTTCTCCTCCTTTAGACAGAAACTCATCCTCTGGTTTCCCAACATGGTAAGTATGACTTCAAACAGAGACTGTTCTGCTCTGCAGCATGATGCTGCCTCTACTAAATGAATTTCTATGGTTTCTGTTCAACAGTGGTCCTGATGGGACCGTCATTTCACCCCAGGATGTGACCCGGTCTCCTCTCAGGTCAGCTGTACAGGCCGTGTCGCTCTGGTTCGGTGCTGTGTGCGTCTCGGTCACTCTGCTGGTTTCGTACTGGAAGTGTAGGACCTGCATGTTCAGGAGCAGCTCTGTGGCTCCAGAGGATCACCTGTAGAAAACCCGACTTAAAAAAAAAAAAAACAGAACCAGAATCTGAGATATTTTAAAAAAATGACTGGATGATTTTAATAGGTTGTTTATTTCTCATTTCAGTGGCAGTTAGTGACAGTTCAATAAACACACTGTGAACCTGACAGTGCAGTGATAAATGATAGTAGTTAAACAACATTTAGAGGGAAGAGAAGACTTCAAGCTAATATATCACTTTTTTTTTTAACAAAAAATGAGCACAATAACTCACAGATGAAGGTGGAATCACTGTTGGGAGCATCTGCCTTAATATGTTTGTCTATCTTGGTTTCTTCTCTACGAAATGCTACTTCCTTTCATAAGGTGCTAAATAAAAGAATCACATAAGCATGAAAACAACATTCTGAGCAAAAAACTATTAATACGTATGTGAATATTTTGTGAGCTCAACAAATTTGAGTCATTAAATGTTAGAAATGTGATTAAGAACAAAGTCAATTCAATATATTACTAAACATATTTTACATGTAGCCAAACAAGCTATAGAAAGAGTTTTAGTATCCTATCAGATAATAAATCTCCCTTTAATGCTTCATTATGTAATCTTTCAAATGTGACTGACATACTGTAAACATATCATAACTAAAGTTTTAAAGCTGGAATATTCACGAACGACGCAAACATTTTCTGTACATGAAATCCTTTTTAACATGTCCTAAACTCCAGAAATCCTCCTGTATGTTTCTGGTGAATCTTCCCACCAGACAAACTGTCCTCCATCACTTCCTCCACACGGGGATGCAGGTCTGCCTCGGCGCCACACCGCTGGGACAGATCCTGTACGGCGAGCTGCTCTTGCAGCACTCACTCTTTGGTTTCAGGCAAACGAAGCAGAACGTCAAGCGACAGCGAGGACACGTCACATTTTTGCAGTACATCCGGTTGTGCTCCACCTTCATGCCGCACACGGGACAGGCCCGGATGGAGGGGCAGCTGGTGACGCCCTTCACTTGGGGCAGGCTGACGTCTTTGCACTTCTTCAGCAGCTGCAGGTCCCTGTTGATGCAGCCGTTGTTGCTGCAGCGATCCGACCGAGGCCCCGAGCCTTTCCACTCCTTCTGACACTGCCAGCAGAACTGGTAGGTCTTCTTCTGGTCGGCGGTACAAATGACACACTGGACACACAGGTTGGACAGATCCTTCCTCTCCACGGTGGTTTTACATTTTGGACACTGACGATGAAAGGAGAAAAGGCTCAACCGCTGAGTTTCAGTGTTTTATTTAGTTTAAAAAGATGTGTGGACCATTTGTCGACTCACCGACTGAACCTCGCAGTACTCTGACACAGACAGGGAGGCCATCTTCTGCTCAAAGTACTCCATTTCATCAACGCTCAGGTCAGCCAGTCTGCGCACCTCCTGGTACGACCAGGGCTTGTTGCACAGCTTGGTTCCCTCCAGCACCGCAGGACATCTGAATTTATGATTCCCCTTAAAGAATAAAACATGGTTCATTTGGAACAACTGGACAAAACTTTATTAAAAACCAGACTTGGTAATGTCCCTGGCCTGAGGGGAAACACAGGTATGGGGCCGCCAATAATTTTGTTGCTTCTCAACCTTTATTTAACTGAAGTCTAACTGTGACTGATTGATGGGTGGAAATAAAACACATGAATTAAAAGCAACACATTTAAAGAGTTGAGAGAAGCTGATAAATATTTAGTCTTTAAGTGTAGAATATCTATAAACTTTATATCTACTCCAGCTTGTCAATAGTTTCTACATTGTCACAACGTTTTCAGACATCCTTTAAACTTATTCTTACTACAACAGTTGATGTGACTTTTCACATTTATGTGAACTAAACTTTCGGTTCCAAATGTCTGCAGATAAATGCTTCTTTTTTCTTTTTTTTTGCAGATGCTTATCTCTACAGGAGATGTCATAATTTGAGAACTGCACATCAAATAAATTTTTTAACCCAATAATTTGATTAGCATATTCAGAATTATATGAAAATATGGAGAGATTAGTTTGTTTTTCAAAATTTCTAATATAAAACATAGCTGTTTTGATCATATCTTTGATTTGGTATTTTTAGTGATGTCTGGTATTTATCTTTGCCTCATGCTTTGGTTCGTCTCTGATCGAACAGATAGTTTTCTAAGTTTGCATGAAGAGTCTTGAACGTACCTCGTCCAGCTGGCTGCGACACCACTGGGTCAGGGAATCAGGAGTGACTGCATGGCCGCAGGACATTTCAGCTCTGAGAGAATTAAAATCAGAAGCTGTGGAGATTAAAAAGTTGTACATCAGTGACGGTTGTTACCAATTTAAATAGAAAATGAGGCTGTTTGGGGCTCTTTCAAGTTACAGGAATGAAAAACAGCTAACACTGTTGGGTTTGGGGCCATAAGCTGCTGCTTAGTTTGCCTTGAGGTTGTTCTGCGTGTCATGATGTTTTACAGCTGAATCACAGAAAAAGAAAGACGTTTCTTACACACTGGATCCAAATCATCTCCCCTGTTCACAAACTTCAGAGTTTTGTCAAGTGGGTCGTATTTCTTCTCCGGTGAGTCCTGCTCCTGAATGCTCATGTTGAGCCTAAGAAAAAAAAAAATCAAACATAATTGATGCTGTTGCACATAATAAATACAAAACAGACTGACTTAGAGCTCCAAACAGATTTGCTACTTTAACAGTTGATTTGTACAAAATGAACTAGTTCAAAAGTTTTAAGACACCCCAGTAGTTATGAGATGAAAAATTGGGAAAAATCTATTTAAGGAATCAACTTAATAGCACTCCACATATTTAAAATGTATTCTCTTAGATTTAAGACTCTGAATGTGTTTTTAAATGTAAAAACACATTCAGAGTGCTTTTTAATATACGCATTACAAAACCAAATGTCAGCAGTGCCTATGTTTTAACACCCGCAAGACTTTATGTGTTTAAAACAAGTTTAAAATGGTCTGTAATCTCCCTACATTGAGACAATGACTTTCAGAACACACACAAAGCTGACATGATTTGAATACAGCTTTTATAGTGGAACTGTGATCATTTACCACTAGAAATAAAAATAAAACAGTTTTTGGTATTTGTTTAAATCTCAGTATATTCTAAAGGGGATAGCTTGACTCATATAAACTACACAAAATGCAAAAATAGAGTCTTTTATGCTGCTGTGCTTAGTTTTGAAACTTTCTGAGCTGATTAACTGTAAACAAAACTTATTCACTCAGGGAAATACCTAACTCCTCCACACTGACATTGAATTATAGAGATAATTTCCTAAACAGGCACATAATTTGAGTTATCTTAATTTGGTAATAAACAAAACAAATGTCATTAACAGAACTGGTTAAAGATTTGAAGAAATGAGAAAACAACCTTAAAAAGACCAAAATAAAGCTCTTATGTGAAGGTAGCTGCTAAAAATGAGATGAATACATTTGTTCAGAGCTGAGCAGCTATAATTTAGGTTTATACAATGCTGTCCATACATTTAATATATTAATAACTATAAATGCGTAAGCTGTTTTACTTACCTTGTGCTCAGTTTGTAGCTCTAACTTCCCCTTTAACTCTTTGTTAAAACCCGGAAGTAGATCAGCGACCCTTAAAAACGTAGTTCTGGAGAAGTATTTCACCCAGGTTTTCTGTGAAGTTTTTAAAAGTCTGTCCAGCAGCAGATGGTTCTGTTGGTTTCGGCTTTCTTCTCCTCTTTCTTCCTGTTTGGACTGATAGTGAAAGTGAAAGACAGCAACGTTTTAACATTCAGTCTGCCCGCTCGGTGAGTATCCTCGTATTTGTTACCTCCCTTCGCTTTACACACGGTTACAGTTATCACAGCTGTTATCTGAGCAATCAGGTCTAGTTTGCTGCAGTCGCTTTGTGATAAAGTTTATATTTTTTTTTTCTGGTTTATATTTGTGTATAAAGTCAACTTGTTGAAATAACGGAGGAGAAGCTGCGTGGGTTTCAACGACACCCCCAAAACACAACAGCTGCTTTCACTGACCTCCAATCTGTGCTCTCATTCATATCGGGTTAATTTACATTAAAATATACTAAATATTTGACCGTGGTTGTAATATGAGCGCATAAATCGCATTTTATGACGCCGTTATCATTTTAGGCGGGATAATGCTTATGGTTGTTAGCCGACTGGTTGACTGATCGTTATTTTTCAGAGGCCGACTTTTAAAAATCAGTTTATAAAAACCAACTATCTAAAAGTTTAAATGAGCATTTGTTTGCACATTCTTGTTTTTCATCACCTCCAGTGTTTCCAGATATTTCAAAAACTAACTTCATGCGCTTTTATAAAAGTTAACTATAAAGATAAACTTTTGGGAAATGTTGGTAAGAGTAGGCTACCCAAACATGAAGTGGAACTGCTGTAACATATTTTTACTCAAGTAAAAATAAAAGGCCATCCATAAAATGACTTCTGTAATTTTCACATACCTCACCTTAATTATTGGAGACATGTCCTGTAGTATGATGAACCTCAAATTTAAGTGTTGGGCTATTTTTTATTATTTTTAACCTGGTAACCAGCTATAGGGTACGGGAGAGGCAGCATCATGTTGTGGGGTTTTTCCTTCAAGAGGGAAAACCATGACATTCCGTGCTACATTTTTTTACTGGTTTTCTAAATTATTTTTCCTGATCTCTGAAATTGTTTTATAGTAATACCTGTTTTACCTTCTTTTTGTCTTGATAGGATGAATCATTGTATGTAAAAAAAAAATAAAAAAAAAACCCAACAAAACATTCAAATGCCACGATGTCCAAACCCCGATTCAACATCAAAACTAAATCATTACACTGTAATGAAATTCAGAGATAAACTCGATAACTTGTCCATCTCAGGTGGGTGAGGCTCAGTAAGTCACAACCATTCAGATTCAGTTTGTTTATAATATTGTGAAAGTCGTTTTGTGTCTGGTGTGTCTGTAGATTACCAGGGCCTGAGCAGTCCTGGTCTCACCTGCTACCTGAACAGCGTCCTGCAGGTTTTATTCATGACTGAAGAGTTTCGGGAAGCCGTGAAAAGGTTTGGGACCTCATCACTGTCTTACATTTTAAAAGAAGCCAAATCAAAACCTTATAGTGATGATAATTATGTCTTTAGTGCCTGTTTACAGCAGGTCATGTGTTCTTCCGATCCACACTCTGTTTAGAGGAAGCAGATTATGGCTGTTTTTACAATAAATGTCACTTATAATTTTTTCATGGGTTAGAAAAAATGCATTTATGAACCATATGATGTTTACAAAGTCATAAGCAAAAGGTTAATGGATGACAAGTTAAGAATAAACATGTTGATTCAAAGTCAAAACAGGTGGCACTTGCAGATTGTAACTTTAAGTGATAATATTCTGTGTTTTCTTTTCTCCTAATTGTAGAGATTGGAGTAAAAGTCCAACAGCAACCATTGATTTCCACCTGGGGGAGCTGTTCCATGCTTTAGAGGGAGATGTGGCCAAAACACACAACATCATAAAAGCATTGGGCATCAAAGACGGTGAGTTTGGATCCAGAAGTGAGCTCTCTGAAGTCCTGAGAAATATTGAAACATTTTTTAAATTATTTTGCTCATTTGTGTTTTAAGTTTTTGAACAACGTGACGCTGCTGAGTATTTTGAGAAGATCCTCTGTCGTACCAATCCAAACGCCTCTGAGGTAGAAAATACACGATATTTATAATTATTATCAAAAATACAAGATGGTATTTACTTCATATATTAACAGTAATGTATTGCAGATGAATAATATAAACTAAAAAACTAAATTGATTTGTCAGAAATATACATTTTATACAAATTTACATTTTTGTGATGTAATAACTATGAAATCATTTATTTGAAAGAAATGATGACAAAGCTGCAGTTACCTTGTTGCATGGATGCGCACACCTTTAGGCTGATCCTTAGAAGTTTTGATTTTATTTTATTATCCATCCTATTAGTTTTACTGAATCTGTTTAACTGTAAATAATTTTTATGGACTTGGTTAGATTTTCCCATCATCTTCCTGTTTTTCCTTATTTACATAAAAAGTGGTAGCTTTTTAGCATTTGATAGTTTTGTATCTTAAAGTAGAATCCATTAATACTGTATTCTTTTCAATTTTGAAGTGTCACTAACACACCAGTAACTTCCTTCTTCTGTTTAGATATTCAAAGGTGAGCTGAATCATAAAACCACGTGTCTAAACTGCAAGATGACAAACAATTCAACAAACTTCTTCTGGGTGTTACCGCTGTCAATGGGAGACTCAAAGTCCAGAAGCTACAGTGTGGTATTATTGTTTTCATGTTTTTCTCACTTTCTGGAGCAAAATAATCTGCAGGATTAACCAGGCTTCTCTGTTTCCAGCTGAAAGGCTGGAGCAGTTTTTTTCAGGCACAAAGAGTCAGCAAGGACAACCAGATGTTCTGCAGTGGCTGCAATCAAAAGCACGACGCCGACATTGTAAGTCAGGTTTTGTTTTTCAGTGTTTTCACTGCAAATGGCAGCCGTCTCCGCTACATGCTGCTGTTTTGATCGTACAGGAGTACGAGATGATCCACTGTCCAGATGTTCTGACGCTGCTGCTGAAGAGGTTCTCCTTCGATTATCAGCAGAACCGTTACGTCAAGCTGCACTGCAGAGTCGATGTGGCCCAGACTTTAGAAGTCAAGGTATTTACCAGTATATTTTACCAGTATATTTACACATATTCAGTTTCAGCTTCTTTGTATTTTAACTTGATGTGTTTCTACTCTCCAGCACTGCAGGTACGACCTCTACGCCGTGGTTCATCACTTCGGTGATCTGATGGGAGGTCATTACACTGCAGACGTCAAATCCTTTGAAACTGGAAACTGGTACTGCTTCAATGACAACACTGTTAAATGTGTAAGTCTGGTTTTTGTTCATAAATAGTTGAATTTTTAACAATGTGAAGGTCAAGTAACTTGTTTAAAATCTTGCAGATCAATGAAGTTTATGTTAAATCTGGACAAAACCAAATAAGGTAAAATAACTTTAACACAACAATGATGGATATTTTCTTTGAAAATCTGTCTTTGTTCTGATTTCTGTTTTTGTTTTTCTTTCACTTCTATCCATTGAAACAGATCATCAACAGCTTATCTCCTGCTGTACAAAATGGGTAAGTTTGAAATTATTTAGTTTGTATTTAACCCCCAATAATCCTTGAGGTTTTAGATTTCCCCTTTTTTTTAGATTTCCACTTGAAGATGTGACGTCATTACATTGCAACAGTGATAAATACTATTTGTACTATTTTATCATCAGAGTTGCAGGTCTGGTGGTCAGAATTGCATGATTGCTTTGATGCTTATTAGAAGTCTCAATAAAATTCCTGCTATAAGGAACTTAATTTTAAAATAAGTACTAAAAAGGTTTTATTGACCCAAATGGGCAAAACCTGTTTGCCCCAGAGTCGGAATTATTGGGCTTGACTTGATTTCTTTTATACGAAATAGGAATAATATTGATGATATTAAAAACACGGTGTTTAAAAAAGTCAAGTGGGAGGACTCCCCCTTCTGGCCACTCTGTAGAATGCAGGCGCTTCTGGCATGAACTTGATCTAAACTCGCTGGTATGAGAACAATTATTCTGCTGCACATGTGTAGATGGATAACAGAGCATTTTAAGATGTTTCCCTTCTCTTTGTTTCTATTGTTTAAATAGGCCACATGCAGAAACTACAGCATATGATAAGCTTGTGTTACCTAAACAAAAGAATGAGCATTTCTTATCAAACCCTACTTCCATTTTTGTTTTAATCCTACCAAAGCTTGTTTGTTTTTTTGTTGGAATAAGACGCCCTCTGCTATTTGTTTTTATTAAAAACTGTGTTTCTGTTCAAAGTGAGCGGACGGCCCAAGGAGACTGATGGGAGCGCTTTGGGAGATTGTGGTCGTTCACCTGAAACTGGAGATAGATATAATGAGACAGAACCAAGAGACGATTTTGTCTTTGAAGATCTCCTGAAAACTGAAAGCCACAGAGGAGAAAACATGCGGTATTTAAACAATGATATGACCAGAGATGATGAGTTCAAGAAGAAACGTTCAAACTCCTCCAGAGGAGCAAATGAACAATCAAACCAAAGAGCCGCACCAAGGAAAACACAGGGATTCATGTGGCTACCAGCAGATACTGAAGCAAAGGATTCAAATGAGGAAATATGTTATAACAACACAGATACATCCTCAGGCTGGATGTTTAACCGAAGCTCCACCTCTCCTGTTAAAGGTGGAGGAGTGAATGAGTCCAGAGACAAACCGGGTAACTATAAGACAAACAAACATCTTTATTATCACAACCCTACAAAAGGAAGAGTCGAGTCTGGAGGAACCACAGATGTGTTTTATTACGGGGAGGATCCAGCTGTGGCATCAACACAAAGAAATGACCTGAGAGTTTCTAGAAAGACTTATAACAATGGTGTAAACACTTCAGTTTTATCACATATAGGAGCCTCACAGTCTCTCAGAACAGAAACTGGATCCAATGGTTTGCAACATTTTAGGACGTCAAAAAAAAGCTAGCAGGGAAAAGAGAGAACTGGTACGACAGATGGCAGCTTGAGACCTAAAACCCTGGAAAGGAAACACTTTTGTAGCGCAGGCAAAAGGAATAAAACAAAAAAACAACACCGGAAATGAAAGAACCCATGTTTATTTTAAAGTAAGGTTTGAAATATTTCATTTAGTGTTGTTAATTTCTGACAACACTATGTCTCATAGATTTACTCTTTGAATTATTAACTATTTTCTCTGAAGTTAATATTCACTCAGGGGGTGATTGAGCTATTAAAACAGAAATCTGCATTAAACTATTAATTATTTGTTCTAGTAAATGTCTTGTATTTTACTGATGTTTCTTTGCCACATTATGAATGTCCTTTTGAATTAGTTCTTTCTTTCTCTGTTTCCTTGTTCCTTATGCCTGAACCATATACGTCTGTTGGCTGCAGCTTTTCTGTACTCCTGCATGCTTTCCCTCAGATCCCACACTTTAAACACCCCTACCTGCTACAACTTGCAGACTGAGTAGAAGACAGTAAAGTAAATGAATGTGTAGATCTTGAACCACACCTTGTCAATGCAGAAGACAAGTTCTTACATAAACATATACACCGACGGTTACGGGACAAATGCCACGCACATCTTCGCTTTCAATTGAGATCACTTCTTAGGTTTCAAGCCCAGTTCCCAGGTAAAAACATCACTACTCCTTTAGATGTTGATTTGAGAATGAAGACCCAATTTAAAGTTATGCTTGTTGTAGGATCAGAGGAAGAGATCTGAAAGTTTTTAGATAAAATTTTTTCTGGTTGTATGCTGACAGATTGTCTTTTCTAATCAAGAGACATGAAAACACCTTATTTTTTCAATGAACCACTAACTCTCATGATAAAACCTAACTTGATTTTTCTCACTTCTTTTTGATCAGTGCACTATAAAATAAATAGCTGAATAAACTTGAGGTTAAGACATCAGGACTATGAAAGCTACAGACCTGCAGTGTTTCTTTAATGTTTATGTATTAGAGCTAACTGAAAAACAGGATAACACGCTACTAGACAATAAGGAGAATATAAAACATCTCTTAAATTAATACTGTAAATATCTACCATACATTATTTTGATATTTTAATAAAAATCACTGCCTGCTACTAATCGGGTATCTTTTAGAGTTATTCAGTTTAAAAATGTCGGTAAAGAATAACCTAGAAAACATGCTGTATTTTCTTCATGTTAACCAGATTGCAACATGAAAGATCCAACCTCATCAGACCTCAAGCAACCACAAGAAACAATATTTTATATTGTATCGAATTTATTGTAAAACAAATGTAAAATTACAGAAACTGAACATGAAAAGAAACAGCAGTTCAACCTTGCAAAGCTCCATCTAACAGAACAAGTAGAAAGGTTTCCTTCACATGAGGCACTACCAATGGGCCACCAATCCATCTTCTCCAGTCATTGAATCAATAACGGGTGCCTCCAAAGTCAAATCTACACATTAAATTTAATATTATTCTCACCCTTGCCCTCCCCTTATACACCAGTCATAACACACGTTCAATTTTAGCCTAGTAAAAACCAACCCCTTGTACTATTTGCTTTGTACGGAGGGTCTGTGCTCTCGGCTGTCAATAAACGATTGCTTCCTGGAGGTGTGGTTTGTGTTGAGGTTTTAAATTTTACCCAACTGCTAAAAATTGACAGTGACATATGCAATACGCCAGTTTAATGCTATGAAGCTTACGTGAAACAGCGTGCACTGTAAACAGCCATCCTCCATTGTGAAGAGAGAAGTACTTAGTTGAATGAGATGGCTGTTAATGTTACTTCAATATCTAGAAGCGTGGCTAATATGGACTCAACAGCTTTTTTCACTTCCACTTCTGCCTTTGCTAAAACTACCAACAGACTAGAATCTAAAATGGTGCAGAAAATCAATGTCATTCTTCACAACATCTCCTTCTGTTGGCCTGACTGAAATTATACTAGGGGAATCAAAGTAAATGGGAGAAATTCCAGACTCTCTGTGAAGTGAGTTTTTATTCGAGCAGAACAGCGCAATAATACGATGGCCAGGCTATTTCAGTTTTGTTTTACTGCTTAACTATTTTCCTGTCTTCTGTTTAGATTGCAAATTATCAGAGTACTTTAAAGAAAAATACGTTAGACAAGCTCCATTCTGTGTGATCTTAGTACACAACACATGTTCACTGTAGGACTATTACAGTCTAGCTGTTCCAAATGATGGAAAAACATGAGCACAACCAAATTAAAGTGGAATCGCCCTTTAACGTCTTTTGCCTGAATTATAAGTTTATTACATGGAGCTTTTATATATTCTGCATAAAATATTCTCTCCCTCAGATCTGCTGGACTTAAAATCACTCTGCCACACAGTTATTCACCCAAATCCATCTATCATCTTTCTCTTTGAGAATTTGGGTTGTCGTCAAATTATCTATGTATATCTGTTAATGGTTCTCAGTTTAAGCTGGTAAATACTCATTGTTAAAACTAATTAATTCTCTCAGATTTTCCATGAGTTTGAGTCTGGTTACAGAGCAGGGCCAAGAACCTGTGTTAAAATATTAGCCCTGAGATGATCAGAGAGCAGTAACTGGAGTGATTGCATAGCCACGAGCTTTAGAGTTTGAGATGTGACAGCATGACTTTCACAGTTTAACACTCCATGCCTGCTACAACTTGCATTCTGAGTAAAGAAAGGACATAAAAACACAGGTCCTGAATAACAACCTGTCAATTCACGAGACAAGTTCAGACATGGTCACACATATTTTCATTTAAAAATGCACTAACGGGAGAAATGTGTAGCACGTCTCGGATTTCAGGTGCACGTTGGTGTTATTTGAAAATACTGATGAGAAGGGGCTGTGTGAGCCAATCACTCGCATCCATCTCAGCGTATTTGTCTATTCATAAAGCTACTTTTAATAGGCTTAAGTCTTAAAAATGTTGTGTAAGTTGTAAACTCATAGCTTCTAATATAAAAAAATTGGTAAATTAAACTAATAAAAAAGTGTTTCACAGTACAAAAAACAACTAATTTGTTGGGTTAAGTCTCTAAATGGTCCTTAAGTGTGAATGTGTGTATGATTGTCCGTTGTGTCTGTGTTGCCCTGCGATGGACTGATGATCTCCAGCAATTGATAAGCCAATAATTACTAGAGATTATTTATTTCTTTACATTAAGATGCCATTCTTATTCTCTTCTCCCCTGCATATAAATTTAAAGTGGCTGAAAGACCCTGAATGTTCACGAATGTGAGTTTAAACAACAAAAATAAGGCACAGGTTTGGAGTGAACAGTAATATAACTTGTGGGCAGTATTTTATTTGAATACCAAGTCATTTTTATTTTATAAAACTAGTGAATTATAATTCAGAAGTTAATCAATCTGTGCAGCAAAGTTATATGCATCCGATTTACAGATCTGAGGAGGTGGCTTGTGTGAGGTTCTTGTTAAAATGCAGCCTCAGTACAGAAAACAATGACAGACATTTACAGGTTTGTCACAAGCAGTGTATGAGTTCTTATAAAATTTATCATTTTAACCATGAGAAATTGGTTAATTGGTTCACAGATATTCCCTTTAGCATTCAGGAAACACATCTCACAGTGAACAAAAGAAGAGACGCATCTCTTGGATTAAATGGGAAATGTTTGTAGGGAAAACTGTGAAAGTACCGCCCCTTCTGAATATAAACCCACCCAGACTGACAGAGAAGGAACACATATCACCAGATAAGTCACACCGTCTGCAGCTACTTCTGTTCAGTTTCACTAAACTGCAGACGACAAACATAAAAATGGCTGTTGGGGTTGTTGTTAGAAGTGGTGAAGAGGAGCTGTTTGTCGACTTGTGTGACACAGAGGAGCAGATGGGAAGTATGACTTTGAAGGAGCTCAAGGAGAAGATAAGAGGCAAGATTCAACCCAAATACCCCGGTAAGTAAACTAATTTACTTTCAATTGTGTTTTGTTGGGGATGCTGAGTTAATGTAGAATACAGCTAGTGCTTCTTAAGTTGATAAAGACAACTGAGTTCTCTCAATTGATTTTTGTCTAATATATTAATACTTCTTTCAGACTGGTTATGAAGAAAATATCAAAAATACTCTGGACATTGGTCATGTTAAACATGTGACCCTTGTCAAGATATCCTGAGGTCATCCCATTATTCCTATACAGGAGATTCTAGTGTAGCAGTAGTAATAACGCATGAAGTTACCTTTAAAATTAATCATACAAAGTAACATCTAGGAGCAACAGTAGAATCAAACTTCAATAAGATCAATGAGGTTCTTATATGTTTTGTCTTAGGCAAGCTTTGCTTTAATTCTAGTTCTTTTGTATTTAATCATGATAAATCATAGTCAGGTAGAGAGACTGCTGCAAAGTCTTGAAAGAGGAACAGCAGGCTTCCTGGAAAAAAGAGGAAGTGAGTTTCCAGTTTTCAGATTTACAAAAATACTTGAGTTACTCAATGCAAAAGACTTGTATTAATGTTTTCTATTGTAAGAATGAACAACTATAATTTTGGTTTCAGATAATTAGAATAATGGATAATTCTTATTTTCTTTTCGGAAGAACGTCTGTAATAAATCAAAAGTAATGTTAAATCAGAAAGATATGACTACATAGTCAATGAAAGATGTTTGAGATGTGATTTTGACAATGACCTTGAAAGAGTACGAAATGTGTGCCATTGTAAAAGAATGATGACGTTACCACATGCCATCGAGTCATCAAGTGTTGCAACAGATCATAGATAGGAATAGAGGTAGAAAGGGGAACTGAATGGAGGTTTTTGGGGGGAGAAGGTGTTGCGTCTGATTTTACAGGGAGACAATTTTGGAAATGCTTGGGAGAAACAGTCACATCTAAATACACTGAGTTTGAAAAACAAGTTGTTTTTGTATAATGTATCCTGACCTGTTTTACTGCTCATGTGACATTTTCTCTTTGCTCTTCTTTGTAGATCATGGAGTAGGTGTTTATGAAGTATATTTTAAAGAAAAATTGCTGGAAGACTACTCCGCTCTGCTGTCTGACCTTGGAATACAGCACATGTCCACCGTTACTGTATCAATTTATCTTTCACAGACCCAGATGGGCAGACTCCCTTTCTGTCCGATACGTTTGTTTGAGGAAAAAGATGATGACAAAAAACGCAACAGTTTAGAATTAAAAATCGATTTTGAGCAACAATTTGAAATTTCCGACCAACAACCAGGCAACTAAAGAAGCGTCCATCATATCATCTGGACCTCAAATATTTTCATCAACAGATCTAAAGAAGCCACATCATTTCAATATCATCCACTCTGGACCGCTGCAAATATTTTTTTTTCCCTACA